AGAGGATGGACATGATTGCATCGTAAGTCGAGATCCAACTGTCTCCTGTCTTTGTCATGGCTCGAGACTTGAGTTCCTCCGTCTTACTCTTAGGAAAATGCCACATTCGAATAGCCAACTCGGGCATCTTGAAGTCGGCTGGCGGTGGAGGAGGCGGACCCCCGCCATCCTTAAGTACGGGGAACTTGTGGTCGAGTTCCTTCCACCGCGCAGCATCTGGCTTCTTTGCACTGAGACGCGATCGGTCCATGGTTTCCTTGGGGACTATCTGGAAGGAAGTTCCATTGGCCACCGCTGCAGAGTTCTGCGCCCAAGTGGTAAGGAAGCCGTCGCATCCCGGGCCGTCGGAACAGTTGTGATGGATAGCAACACCGAGGACGAGACCGCCTTTGATGAAATTTATCTGAAACGTAGAAATGAGGAGATCGTCTTCCTGATTGTCCCCGAGCGGCGAGAACAGTTGTTTCTCTGTCACCGCCTTGGGCAACAACCTGTGTCCCTTGAACGTCGCGGCCGGGAAATCGGTCCTATCCAGCTCTTCAAACGAAAGAAACGTTTCCTCCAGGTTCTGCACAAACAGACTGACTTCGCTGTCCTTTTTCTTCGTCACCCACAGCCGTCCATTGTCCGCGTCCATCTTCAAGCCGCCGGCGAGAATTGGGAACTGGCTCAATGTGACTTCGAGACCCTTGGTCATGCTATCCACGACCTTGGCCTTTTCAACATGTGGCGCGAGCTGGAACACCTCCACTATCTGCACATAGATCTTCGGCATGGTGTGGTCCATATCGGAGAGAGCGAAGTCCTCCTCTGCAGGAGCGCTCTCCCAACCTGCTGGGCGGATCCTAAGCTCTTTCGCGGACATGCTGCTTGCTGGGGTAAAACGTGGTTGAGGCCGAGAAGCTCCAGAAAAATGCAATGAATAAGAGACAGAAGGATTTCGCTTAAAACCACGACCCTTGAGGACGGAGAATTTCAGCAGCTGATCACATCAAAGCCCCGACGTTGCGCGCCTTGCACTGTGGAGATGGCAAGGTTCATTTTAACCAGTGCGCCAATCATGAACTGTTTGTGAGGCGTTACTTCGGTCGGAAAACCTGCAGTTCTACATCCGATAAAGTGCCGTTCCTGACTCACTCTTGTACGGTCTCGCCAGGACAGTCTAATGTCTCGCAGGAAGCATGGTGAGTGCGTGCGGAATCTAGGCGCGGCAAGCGGCAACGGCGCGGCGCGAGCTTGAATGAAAGCATATCTCACCTCATGCAGACTTCCGTGGAGTCCAACCCCAGATTTTGACTAGGGCAATGCACAATACTTCCGAAGTGTTCGCGTTCCACTACCCATATACCATTTGCGCATACATAAGGAGACAAGTATAAAGTCTACTTCTAGTTGATCAGGACACAACAAGGTATTACAGTTAAGCCTTAAGGGTAGCTCGCGGACTGCCTATAACGTAAGTCGCGATAGGGAGATAACATCAGTTTTGAAGAACACCGTGGTAATGCCACCGCTTATCACTCTGCGTCACGCCGCACGTTCGTGCCCAAAGGAGTCTCCTCATCAGGACCGAATGTCGCTACCGCATGTTTGGACCGTTGGCAACCCCCACCCGATACTCGTCCTAGTAACGAGTCGCGAACTTCAACGACATAGGGCCGACTTCATGACAAGGATCGGGAGCGCTTCTTCATGCCGACTCACGCACCGTTTCATTGGGCACATGCTGCAAAAATCAAATGGTTCCTGCGTCGCGTACATCGACACATACCTTTCCCCGTTTTGTAAGGGGTTACTCTTTACTCACTCGCAGCACTTCGACTTATTGCGGCCGGACGAAGTACTCGCGATCTTTTGATATTTGTTGAGAAGAAGTGCATACCGTTTGGAGTTTTCACGTACTGTTCACTGCCCACTATGGATTTTGTCCGAAGAGCCGGAGATAATGTGAATTTGGTGGTGTACGATAACATTCAACCCATTGTTTGGATCACCACAGTTCCATTCTTCATAATGGGCTTGATATCATCTGCTATCCGGCTTTACACTCGAGCTTTTATACGAAAGCCTTTTGGTACAGACGACTGGTTCATGCTGGTTGGAACTGTGAGTGTTAAACCTACCCTGTTTCTGAGCCGTGCTGTGACTGACCCAGAGACAGATCTTGTTCATCGGGCAGCAGTATATCGCTTGGATGTGGACCATCTTAGGCGGCGGGCTGTAAGTTTGACACTTTCTGGAGAGAAGTTTTCCAACTGTTTTTCTAGGCACGTTACCGACCCTCGTGTTAAGCCTGAAAACCTCAAGAAAATCAGCACTGTACGTTATGGCAGTCTTACGTGTAATGCACGCTTTCGCTCGCTTGGTCATACATATTAACACACAAGGCAGTATCTCTTCGCAGAAGAGTTCTACTATCTTCTTCTACAGTTCTTCATAAAGATGTCGTTCCTCTTCTTCTATCGCCGCACACTCGAGGTCACACCAGGTTTTAGGATCGCGGTAATAACCACTATGATCCTGGTCGGTTTGCAGACGGGCGGCACATGGATTTTCTACGGCCTGCAATGTATCCCCATCCAAGCCTTTTTCACCCCAGAACTTTATCCGAACGCTGTCTGCATTTCCTCTGGTCTATCATACTACTTGCCCTCCGTTGCTGTAAGTCGCTCGTCACCTGTCAGACTACTCTCCACTGACACTATGCAGAACGTCTTCATGGACGTAGTGATTTACCTCCTCCCGATCTACCCTCTGTGGAACGTACAAACTACGGTCCGCCGCCGAATCGGTCTGATGTGCGTCTTTACCCTTGGAGGCTGCACGATTATGATTTCGCTTCTTCGCTTCATCGTCCTGTGGCAACTCGCAAACACGAAAGATGTGTCGTACATCTTCGGCTCCGTCACGATCGTCACGTCTATCGAATTCGCGGTAGCGATCATCACCGCCAATATGCCTGGAATGTACGGCTTCTACCGCGCAAGGGTATCGAGAAAAGAGCAGAGTTCCACTGAGGGATACCACTTTGGCATTGCTACCCCTGGATCCAAGGGCCGTTCTTTAGGGAACGCTAGTCGTGTGACAAAGGGTAGCAAACTGAGCACTCATGGCGAGGAAGATGATGTAAGAACAGGGAGCCAGGACGAGCTGTACCCAATGAGCAATCTCGGTGAGAGCGAAGAGGAGCAGAATATACGCGTCACTACGAAGGTCATAGTCGAAGGGGAAGATCCCAAGAGATTGCCCAGGAGTAGTCTCAGGAGCCTCAGAAAGGGACATTGATGGTGGCGATTATGGTCCCTTCTCAACCACGTGTAGCGAGCTGAGAGGCAAGATGGTGGCAGTGATTATGGCTATGCATTATACCCAAACATGCGAAGATGTACACGCTTGTGGATTGGTAGCAAGCTTACTCTAGCATTGTTCAGCGTTGGCGCCTGGGGCGTTCTTTTTAAACTTAACACCGAGAACCAGCATACATAGCGAATGGCGTTTATTTGCTCGGAAAAGACTTGCCACAGAATGTCAGATACAACTTCTGACGCCGAGCCTTCGACGGAGTCGATGTCCGAAGTTCGCGCTAGATCATCGGCGTCGAGAACTCCGCACTGCGTGTCAGCAGTCCTTCACATATCCAATACGAGTAATCCAGTGTCGCTCATCGCTCAATCTTTACCTGTACTCAATCAGCCTGTTCACGCAGAAATCAGCGAACACCTCCAGAGCGGATTCTAATGAATGCACCTGATGACTGCCCAGGTGAGCGTTCTGCAATTTGTGTGGCTGGTGACATTCTTTCACTCCGAATATTCCGTGTCATTAGCTGTTTCCAGTAAGGATCATGTACATCACCAGTAGGCTCCCGCTTATCAGCAACCTCATCCAATGGCGAGAGAGACTATGGGGTGTGAAGCGATGTGATCTAGACCTACTTGGGATTAGCAAGCTGCGGGGCCGTTTCGCCGGAACATTGAAGAAATACTCCGACGAGGTTCTGCTTCTGTATGTAGGAGATACGTAAGTTTAGGTGCGGAACAGTTCTTTCGCACTAATCTTACACTATTCGGAGAATCATCTAGTATGCTGCGAAGGAACGGGAAGCCCAGGTTGGTGAATTCGACAGTCAGATACCCACGGGTGGCTAATCGTGACGCGCAGGTCGTGCGAACCATGTCGCATATCGAAAATCAAGTGCGACCATGCCACGCCCACATGCTCAAAGTGCCAGACTCGTGGGATGACAGAACAGTGCTTTTACCACCCTAACCCAATGACGAAGCCTGCTGGCACCCCTCGCAAGAAGCCAGAGCCGCGTCGTCGCCGGTTGGATGCGCAGGCTACAAACCCGTCATCCAGTCAGGGGAGGTTGACGCCGTTGACCCTAAGTCCACCAACGTTGAGGAATGATGCGGGAATTGGCCCATGGCCTACTCCTCCAGAATCTGCTACTAGAACAACACAAAGCGGACCCGACCCATCCCGGAACTTCTTCTTGGGCTCTACTAGTTATGCCGCTGTCTTCACAGAAGAGCAGCCCTTACCAGACACAGTACATGAACAGCCATCCGAAAGCCCGAGCACAGCCCCTTTCGTGTCAAATAGAGGCATGGCACACCGCCATTGCCAATTCTCTCTAGGAGATACGATAGTCTCTACGCTTCAGCCATTTTCCTTCTATGAAAGGTCTCTTCATATGTATTTCGAATCGCACAAGGGTAAAATCTCTCAGGTACAAACTGCGTATGAGACATAGACTGACTTAGTACATCGAAATCCTAGATCCAGCCCTCCCTGGTCCCCTTATTCTTTCCGCATTGCCACAACTGCGCATAGACTTAGAACAACTTCAAGCTGCTGGTAATCACGCACACCTGCTCTACGCCGAGATGACAAGGAATTCCGCTCGCCCAATGAAAATACCTTCAGATATGCGTCCGTCAGAGTTCCACACTCTCTTCACAGGCAAAAATCTGAGATGGGAGATTTTGGGCTTGATCATGGCGATTGCCGGCTCTAGTGCCCAGTTCACATCGCCTAACGACCCCCTCTTCACATTAGAAGATGGCAAGCAGATGAATAGAGAGGAGTTCATCGAGGACATAATGCATGCAACCAATACGTGTATCAACATCTGCCAAACACATGGCGCTGTCAATGAGCGTACGTATCATTCCTAAGCAGACTTACCGTACACATTTTGATGGAAGCAGTCATGGTATGTCTCGTTTACATCAACCTGATGGTAGTCAGTAGCTTCTACGGGGACAACCGTACGTCACCCCTACATCCAGAAGACTAAATTACGATCGCTGACTCTCCAGATCATGCTACTTGGAGGCGCATGGGCGACAGTGTATCCGCGCTCTACGCTGCGGGAATCCACTGCGAGGCTTGCAACGTAGACGGTAGCAACGCAGAACCATTCTTCATGCGCGAGTTTAGGAGACGACTCTACGCGGCGATATATTATGGCGACAAGACACTAGCGGTGTTCTACGGAAGGCCTCCGATGATGGGCTGGAGATACAGTGACCGCAAGATGTTGTTAGATATTAGCGATCGCGCTATGGCCTCGGACGATACTGAAGTACTCAATGCTGAGCTCTCGAAGCTCGACAGCGACGGTTGGAATACCGAAGGCCATCTGTACCCTACTACTTTCGGTAGGATGCGATGCCAACTTGCTGTGTTTAAAGAGAGATTGTTAGAGCAAAGTCTTGCAGGCGAAAAGGATAGTGAAGTGGTGCGGAATGTCGAGTACGTCTAGATTTTCCATCGCTTTTTAACCTTCGGCTAACAAGAGCAGAGCAATCTCTGCCGAATGTGCCGAATGGTGGAACTCGTTACCGACTCACCTTCGCTATGATACATATACCGAAGAAGCCGCTTGGGTAGACCGCGGTCCTGGTCTGGCCATGCGGCTGGTCGCCTACTACCTGGATTACCTTCACGTACATTTCCAAACGCAACGCCTCCTTCATCGGATAACGCAACAAGCCCTGCCAGCATTGTTGGAAGTGTCTCTGAAGCTACTGGTGTCCTCACTCGTGGCTTCCAAGCCGCAAAACCGCATATACGAAACTCGTCGCCATTTCCCCACTGTCATTTTATTCTACTGTTCCCCAGCTGCTGGTGTATTGGCACTAGAGCTCCGGAGATGTACGATTGAGGGCGTACCACTACCTAGCACAGTCTCCCGGGCCGACATTATCCGTAACCTTTCCGTGCTGACTTCATGTTTGGAATGGAGCGTTCTTCCCGGCGACGGCAATCTCAAGCTTTGCAACGAGCTCAACAAAATGCTCGCACTGGTACTAGATGAGGTCCTCAACTACGAACCTCCAACCAAAGGCACACCAGATGCCGGTGACGATACCGCAGCTAATCTGACCGGGATGGGGCAGGGATTCTTCGATATGCCCATGACCGAGGGGCTGGAACCTATACCAACAGAGTCGTCCGACTTTCTGAACTGGCTAGACAACGCAACGTGGAATAATGCGGTAAGCTGAACAGTCACATGCAGAAAGAATTTGCTGACCAATCCAGGACTTGTTCTGAGTGTAATCAATTGTGTCAACAGGACTGCAAAGCCTCGGCCAACTAAAACAAACCATCCAACGCCTCATACTCGAATCCCGATATATTATGGAAATCTGACACAATGTACGCCTCGAACCGCTCTTCCAGCAACATTATTCCCAGAATCTAAGCATGCGAACTATTCCACGCATCATTCCGAAACCCACATCCGGCAATCTTACTCCTCTAAAGGCGGTGAATCGTTCAAAGCCCGGAGAAGTACGCCGCTCTCGCAGCAGCTCTATTCTCACACTCATCGACTTTCTTTTGCGCTTCGTTGCTCGATTGCGACGTCGCTTCAGCAGCTGCTATCTGTATTAGCTAGAGTTCCAATTCATCAAAGGATGTATGAACATACGCTTTCGGTTCAGCAACTTTGCCAGAATACTTTTCGACGTTGATTTCGTTGAGACTAGGGAGTTCGCATCGGAAGATGAGTATGGCGGTGGTGCAGTGGTAGAATAGCGTGGCAGATCGCTTGGTGAGGTGGTGTTGGATTGAGAAGACATTGTGGTGGTACTTCGGTAGCAGTGACAAGTAGATGTCGTATTGATAGTGCTTGGAGATATTGAGAGGGCTGAGACAGTTGATTTAATTTATGCGGCTGCTCTCGTTGACAAGTATGACTCTGCCATTGATGTTCCACATGTCTTCTTATATGCAGACTCGTCATATCACTACCGATCAGCTCGGAGACCCCATCAGGTTCGTCATTGCCCTTTCCAGCTGCTTCGGAATTCAACTTGACTCTTCCCCACTCAGCACAAGCCATTAACTGCATGCCTTACACATTTGGTGCAGCCCTCGGAGTACCTACTTGGCGGGCTTTGGTAAGCGAGTGCAAGCATCGTGGTGTCAGCGCTAGGCAACAGTGTTAGCCGTCCAATGCCGAATCGCGGCACTGAAGAACGTTGCATGCACAGATGTCAGGATACACGCGTCAGGTGTGTTTTGCAAAGTCTGACTGGTTTTCCTGATCTGGATTGTTGTTTTTTGTTTGCATGGATCCTTATGGCTGCATGGTGACTGAGAATCTTCGGAATGAAAATAGTGCCGATGATTTTGCCGGTGAGTTGGAGAGGGTTAGCTTGACGTGTTTGCTCCGATGGAAAGGGCGGAGTCTAGAAGCCCATGACATTCAAAGGGCACATGCGACCAAATGAGTCAGATCCAGGCATGTTAATGTTGACAATGTTCTTGGATGCGATAAATGCGATGGAGCTGTGGGAGGGCGTTTTCCCTATCACGCAGACTTTGATTCCACCTAGGCGGCTACAACGAATGTCATTTGTTGAATGCAACAGGTTTTGGCGCCTGTGTCAACTGCAAAGTATTTACACGAAGTTTCTACGGGCCTCCCTTGGACTGCATTCAAGCTAATCAGACACACTGCGAGTAGTAATCACCTCCGGCCTTGCAGGTAAGTCCTGAAGCACCTACACAGCGTTAGTAAAGCCTTATTTGCACGTTTTCTCAGCTCATCCGACTTACAAGTTTTGCATCCAGTGAAACCATTTCCGCCGCATTGGCCGTACCTTGCAACGGAGCAAGCGCCAGAACCACCTCCATTCGTTGGCACAGCGGCGGCAGAGGTGGCTACCGCTGACGTCCTCATCGTGGTTGCAGTAGCTGTAGCAACTGGCGCTCCACCAGTAGCAGTGACAGCAGATCCAGCACTACCAGCAACGGCTTCTGTACCACCCGCGATGACTGCCGGACCGGGAGCGACGTACGAAGCGAGGTTCTGGTAGATGTTGATTTGGATACCGGGGTCGGTAGCCTTGTATGCCCCAGGGAACGATACGCCAGCGGGTGAAGAAGATCCACTACCAGTGACAGTGATCTGGTAGCAGGTGATGTAGAATTGGGCGCCGTTGGCACTGCCTGCAGCATGTAGCGCAATAGCCTCCGCTCTCAGTAGATAATCTCCGGGGGCCAGGTTGGTGGGAATCTCCACATCCATCTTTCCACAGTTCTTGTTCAGATCCTTAGTACCCCAGTAATCATCCGAACCGCCACCGCCACCGCTGTTCTTCGCCCATGTATCCTGGAAGACCTTGAAGAAGGGGGTCGAACCATCCGCTGTGGATGCGTCTGCAACCTTGGACATGTAGACCAGAACGGGGCCGTAGTGGGCTCCGCCGATGGCTTCGTTAGCGCATGAGCGGTCGCCGTTCTGCTGGTGCATCTCTACGGTGACGGTACCACCGGCAGGAACGCTGCATTTCGAGGTTGCTGGACCGCGGTTGGCGTTGCAGCGGATGTCGTTGCTTGCTACTGAGGTGACGGGGCTGTTGCCATTGGGTAATCTTGCGCACGTCGACTGGTGGATGGATGTCAGCGGTTGATACAAGACACTTGGGGGTACTTATCTGATCTACACCGTTTACCCAAAGCTGCTGAAAAGTGGCATGAGAGGCTACCTGTGTCGCGAAGGCAGCAACGCCGGTCAAGATGATTGCACTCTTCATGATAAATGCTCTGCCGATGATCGGTGGATGAAGTGAACGCAAGTGTTGGACTGTTCTGGGATGGTATCGACTTGAATACCTACCTATCGTCTCTTTATACTTGCCTCTTTATCCCCTAAGAAGTATACAAAATGCTCGCTTACAGGCGGAGTGTAGCCCATGGTATCGATCTAGGCGACTACACCCCAAGAGGCAACAGCCTAGAGTATGGCATCGTCGTGTGACTTGCGATTATATGAAAGCAAAGCTTGTCAGTGCCGTAACCCGGGTTCAGTTTTCCACGTGTAACGTCCTGCAGGTGGTGTGTAAATTAATCAGTGCGCCAAAGGCAGCCATTCAGTGTTGACTACACCGAAACTGGGCTCTAGATTCGTTTGACAGGTATGCTTTTGGGGGTGTCGTGCAGGCTTGCTTGCATATAATGCGTGTGCTACGAGCCACCGGATAAACCTCCCGTCGGTTCGATTGGGCGCAAGTCTTATGAACGTATGGTAGCCTCTTCTTCGCATCTCTGCGGTTTGGGATCGAGAATCTCAACACTCGTAACGCGTATGTACTGATTGGCAGTGGTAACCATGCTGTTCCTGTGGATTGCAGCCCCAACACCTTCGGCAACTGAACGTTCGATTTTCACATTGAATTCGCGAGACCGTGATCTAGGGCGATCGGGCGAGACATCCAGGTCTTAGGGCGACGAGTTATCGAAAGCAATCTGTTTAGATGAAATTCGAGAAGCGACGCGTGCCGCGTTTGCGCATTTCCCAGATCCGGTTCTTCGGGTAGAAAGCTTGTTTTTCTCCTCTTCCCAATATGGTGTCGGAGGTGGTAGAAGGCTTAAGTCCAGATGAAGTGACCGCCTGAGAAGTGCGTGCTCGAGTTGCAGTAGGTAGAGTGATGAGTCGGCACCTGGCTGGCTGCTGCCGATGTGGGGACCGCTAGCACGTTTGGGGCAGGGGCCCCGGGGGCGCGCACGAAGCACACAAACCTCCGTCATTCCTTCATCGACGCACATCTTTGGTCGACCATGGTGTATTTCTTTATACAGATTTCGATACGGGTGCCTTTATTCCTAGTCATTATCGTCGATTGATCGTCTTTCGACGTAGCAAAGTGCCCTCTTTCGCATCTGTTGCCATACCCGTGAGTACATTTTTCTTCATTCACGTACGTCGATGCCGTGCTCTATTCAAGCCTCAATCTCTTATATGTGTTGGGTTGTGGTCTCTCCGATCTCTTTGTTGCTACATCATCCACCCCATGTATGCCCACGTGAGTATATCAGCAACCTTTGTCTCTCTTCTCAAGCCATCCTCTCGTCATGATCATAGCCTCGTCATCCTTCAGTCTTCACCATGTCTCTCTTCGTCAAACCTCTCGCTTCCCACAGGCCACACACGCACAGCCCGCCTTCACCCAGCAAAATAGCAAACGCCCACACTCACCTTCACCTCGCCTCCCCATCGGTCCAGCCATCTCCCTCCACCGCCTATTTTATACAGAGTATAGCACGAACTCTCTCTCGCTATATAGTCCTAGATCTTCTACGTCCCTCCATCGACTCGGGATGGAAGACCTGATGATCGGCCGGAAACGTGCAGCATAGCAAAGGAGTGGGTAAGACCACCGCCAACGCTGGGTCGCTCCCAGCTATGTTGGAAGCCGCGGGTTCGAGTCGTGATAAAACCACTTCTACACTCCCCAAGGTGGCGTCCTGGCATGGCATCTTCGGAGCATGCCAGGATGCCGACTTGGGGAGTGTAGCGGAGTTTTCACCAGACACTTAATACCTCAAGGGTGTCTGTTCTTTTTTGCTCTTGCCTATGTCATTTTATGCCTTCTTCCACTTGTAATAGCGGAGAAAACATCTGTGCTAAGATAGGAACACAATGCCAATTAGGTGCTCCGTGCATTAGGCTTAACGTAGGTATGTTGTCTACGTATCCTATGAGCTAAGCATATGTAGCAATCTACTTATCACTTCATAATATATACTAGAAGATAAGTCAACAACAGCGTTCTGTTATTGGATAGTTATAGATATAGCACATAGTTATTAATTGCAGATAAACAAATAAACGAAATCAAGACAATAGAAGGAGAACAGTAGGTTGTCTTGAACATGTTCGGTCATTGATCATGTAGATGAATTCTTAATCTTCAGTAGCATGATGGTATGCTACTTATACATCTGCTTGGTGTTCTGAAGTCATCAAATTCGTGAAGATACCGCACCCCAAGTCTATACATCACACCTTCTTAGTCCCTCTTGAGAGGTGTGAAGGTCTCGGCTATGCCCTCGTTTGTAATGATCATCATCTGAAGGCCATCACCAACCTCAATGTGCCTCTCCACGGCGCTCGTGAAGGCGTCCCGTACCAGGTCCTCGACGTGATCCCGCGGTAGCGGTTGTGCTTGCTTCGACTTGAGTTCGTGGCCTGTTCCGCTGCCTGGCTCGTACA